GCCTCCTGTTCATCCATTTCAGCTGTGGCGGCTGCCTCCCTGGCAGTGCTCCAGGCCAGGCTGGATGGGGCTTTGAACAACCTGGTCTGGTGGAAGGTGTCCCTGCCCATGGCAGGGGGGTTGGAACTGGGTGATCTGTAAGGTCCCTTCCAAGCCAAACCATTCTATGAGTCTGTGACAGTGTAAAGTGTGAAAACAAATACAGGGAAACAAAACCACAATGGGAAAGTCATCCCAGTGCACATGGAAACCAAACAGTGCCCAAAACTAAGAAATCTGAAAGTCAAGGTGGTAAAGTAGTACAGCCTATTCACAATGCGGGAATCTTAAAAAAAAAAAAAGCAGGTGGCACAAGGTCCAAATCATGGCATTGCTGGGAAGATCCTAAATTAAAAGAAATACATTATACATACCTAAAACAGGAAGAAAAACCCTGTACAGAAGAATGCAGAACTGCGCAGACAGTATTTCTATATTTTATTTATTGGTGATATTCAACAGCCTAACAAAAATGGTTTAACTCACTAACAACTACTGCTGCATTAAGTGAAAGGTGTTTGTTTCACACCACCACACAGGTAATTAGCATGCTGTTCAGACAGCACACAGGAGCAACAAAGTATCTTCATGATACAATTTAAACCATATATTGGAAGCAATGGGAAGAATATAGTTTTACAGTTGCAAAGTTGACTTAAAAGATGTATTAAACACGACGGAAGGCACGGAACTAGGACCCCATTATCAGAGATGGCCACAGGCACTGTTACCTTCCATTTGCTCCAACGTGGCTCAGCATTTAGCACTTCTGCAGGGTTACAAATACAGCAGCATCCACACCTCCCCCCCCACATTATCCTCACTAATTTAATGTTTAAAACCCAAATCACTAATGCCAGTTCTACCCTGAAAAGAAGCAAAAGTTCACAGCCATATACAGCTGATGCTGTAACAGCTGCACGGAACTCTCCCAGCAGGTGGGTTACACGATGCTATCCACGATGACAGACGTAGTAACGCAAAGCTAAAATAAGAGTTTGATCGAGTAAGAGTCAGTAGTGGAGCTATCGGTTTTGTTTGGCAGGCTGAAGACTCGTGCGAAAAAGTCCAGATCAGATTCACTGCTAAAGTAAGATACACAATTTGATATCCGACAAGTGCAACAAGTACTGATGCTGCTCACAAGACCCAAATTCTGTACAGGTTACTCATAGATGGAAGCGTTAGTGTAAAAAGAACACAAATCATTTGACGAAAAAAGATTACTTTTCTTAACTGCGAAATACAAGTGATTTAAGTACAGCAGTTGAACAAAGCAACTTCTTTCTTCTTAGTGTTTGAATAATTTATAAATTGTTACATGTTCAGTTACTACACTGAAGAGCTGATGGTTGATAAATTTCTCTATTCAATTCCTCTTGCTTTCAACTCTGATCGAACCCGCTGGAGATAATGAGGATCAGGGTAACCAAATCTAGGAGAAGAAGAAAAGAATTGTTTGGGCTACTTTCACAATGAAGCACTTGACAGTTCTGCAGCACTTTCTCATCAAAATCTCTTACAACACTTTGCAAATCGTATGCACTCACTTTTTACTCTACAGAGAAAACAGACCCTGTTTCGCAGGTCAGAGAGGTGGTACAGACAGGATAAAGCTAAAAACTTACAAAAACCAGCTGCCGAATTCGGTCGTCCAAACTGACACTAAGAACTTGCTTTTCCAAGCTGCCTCGCTCGAAAATGACAGGGCGCTTGGGTACGCATCGTTCCAAAAACCAGGCCTGAAGGGCATCCAAGTGAGCGCTCGAAACACGAATATAACAGCACTTCTGGATTTTACGTAGCGCATCAGCAAGCGCATGAAACAAGTGGTAACTACGGAGAGCATCTGGGCAGAGGGGGGGATAAAGTAAAACTGGTACGTTTTGCTCTTTTATGACCCTAGCCCAGGGAGGAGGATCTAGACACACATCTTTAGAGCTTGCAGGAAGACGCCTGCCCCTGAGAGGCTGCGACAAGCTTGAAAGGACTGCTCCAAGCCTCCCTCTTGTCTCTGAAAGGTTTTTTTTCAGGAGCCAAACAGCTTACTGATAAAACAATTAATCATATCTTTAAGAAAGGTCAATATTCTGTTGCCAGCTCACTCTATGAGAGGTGCTGCAGGCAGCTCCCGCTCGGTACCAGTGAGCATGCTGCCTGTGTGCCCTTGCCTTTATCTAGAAGTGCAGCAAGTCCTCAAGAAATGCTGAGCAGAGTTGTCTTCTACTAAGAAAATCCTGTAATAGCTCAAACAACCGAAACGGGGTAACCCTTTCTATGGACAGGGTCAGCGTGGCGTCCTGTGCTCTGACCAGAGGCCCACCAAACGCTGCACAGCTCAGGGCTCTTCGCATCTAAAAGCACATAACCATATCTATACTACAGTCTCTTTCTTCTTGCTGTTAGCTCTCATACATAGAATTTCAAATAATATTTTACAGAGTCTGAGCGCTGTCTTTACTGGGATCAGAACGGATCAGCACCTCCTGGTGCAAACCAGCAGGTAACAGAAGAGGCTGAGATCAGGAGTCCAGCCTTTGCTGCCATCAAGAGCTTGCTGTCCTGTCCTACACCAGCAGCAGTTTCTCATCACAGTAGTTACTAACTGAGTAGGTACTTTACACCACTCACTAGTGAAGGAGAGGCCTGAGGGGCAACAGAAGACTAAGCTCGTCCTTGTTCCAGCTGTCCAAACTGGTGAAGGTGATTCAAGTCTGGATCCGCAGAGCGTTCCACCATCACTTTGTTACTGACAAAATCTGAAAGCTCTAATGTGGAAAATATTCAGGGTATCCTTCCTGCCGCACCTGAGTAGCAATATAATTACATAAACAGAAGACTACTTACTTGGTAAGTCCTCCAGTCATGGAAGTTTTGTGGTGAATATCATTCCATGTGATAACATTTTGTACACCAGTAGTACGTGAGTGCCCCACTGTGAAAATCAGTTTTTGGTTAAAGGCTCGTCTGAGGAGCTGCAGAACTTCTCGCCCTTCCTTATTGTCGGGTAAATAAGCTAATCGAGTAGTTGCGGAGTAAGGTTTCCCTGGGTTTGGATGGTTGCTCTGTTTTGTAGAAAAACAAAACACATTGGATAGCATAAATGCTTTCAAAGTGTGAAAATCGCACATCCCTGCTTTCTCAATACTTTTTTATCCTGTCTCTGATTCAGAAGGATATAGCGTAACTGGCGACCGATTTTGAGGAGTTTTTTTTCTCATTAGATAATTTATTTCACATAAGTTTCATTCACATTTTCTTGTCATCACTCATGCATCCATTGTTATTTTTAAATTTGTGTTTCCCTCTTTGCTCTCCCAAATGCACATCGCCCCACCCCTGACTTTTTCATTTATCCCATTTTCAGTCCTAGTCATGACTCTAAGCACGTCACGTAAGCTGATTTCTCACCTGGAAAGCTTACAAGCCAGCCTGCTACTCATTCTTGCCCATTGGTGTTGTCAGCTAAGAGAATGCCTCAGAGAATCCTCATTATACTCGCAAAATTTTGTGCACATGATATCACTCCAGAGATTTCGGTTCAGTTATTCCCAATGTACACATTAAAGACAGGTAGCTCCGTCCTGGTGCATATAAAATGGAGGGCTACCATTTGACTATTTAATTGCTACTACACTACTTAATTGCACCCAAAAAGACTGAATTAAATACTTGCAGATGTGTACAGAACAAAGAAATCTCTCTCCTAGACGTGCATTAAAATGATGGAAAAATAGTTAAATTTTATATTCAGTACTGGTTTTGTGGTGGGAAAAGCATCTTTTATGAATCTTTAAATATACTTACAGTTTGAATACCACTGTACATACTATATGTAATCTCAATAGTACCACAGCCGGCATAACCTGGGAGAGATGTAGACATCACTCTAGTTGACATTGTTCCCTCGGGCTGGTCTCCTTTCACGAGTCCATAGACGGTGTTACAAACCGGACAACTTTGCTTGTAAGTCATGGCCTGGGCGATGCAACTTCTGCAAAACGCATGATTGCACTTTACCAGTATTTCTTTATCACTAATTGTCTCCATGCAAATCGGACACACATCTTTGTCTTTTTCTTCTGTCTTTGCCTTAGGCTGTCCTTCAGATGAAAGTTTATTCTTTTGGTTGCTACCCTGTTTCTTCTCAGAGGCTCCTGTAGCTTCTTGATAGCTGCGATCAGAGGACAGCGGTGTCCTATTTTTAGTTGGCGTTGAGTCTTCAATGCTAAGAAGGTTCATAATGTGCTTTTCAGCAGCATTAAGATGGTCTGGTAAACCTCTTAAGATGAATCTGTCTTCCTTCCTCTTAAGTTTTACATGCAGATCTTCCAATTGTTTTCCATTAAGCAACACGTTTAATCGTTTCTTCTGATCTTCCGAAAGTTTCGAGCTGATGACTTTTTCTCTTAACATTGCAGAGGCATTCTGAAACGCATTGATGAAACTTTCAGTAGCATGTGAAGACATATCAGAAGTTTTCATCCTAGGCCTAAATACTATGAGAACCTTCTGGCCGTATGAACTGTCTGTCTTTTCTATTACTGTGTCAAAATTGTCTTTAATGTCTTCAGTTTCTTTGCTTAATACTGTTTCCAACAATTTATACAGAGAAGCATCAACTTCAATTCCATTCCTGTATTTGTACAGTTCGGATGATATTTTCATTTTCTTTTCAGCTTGGCTGTTCTCACCTTCCTCTGCTAGAAGTTTTTTGGCAGCTAAAATCTCACTCGCTGGACCACGGAGCAGCAACTGATTCCCTTCCTCTTTGGCAAGAAGATTACTAAACCTAGCATTTAATTTCGTTATTGTCTCATTTAACGTGTAACTGTTTGTTACGGGAATCTTTTCCTGTTTCAGATCTCCTACGCTTTTCTGAAAAGTTGTGATAAAAAAATCTTTAGCTCTTTGTATTGATGCAGGACTTTTATCAGAAGTGAAGTATACTGATGTGGTTCCGTTGTAATGATCTTTACTTTTTACACGCACTCCAAAATGTTCCCACAGTACTCTGAAGTGTTCTCTGCAGGTATGACTGTAATATTCATACAGAGCCGACAAAACTGTAAGCTCATTCATTTCTTCTGTATTCAGACCATTTTCATCTTCCAAACCCTTCTTACTTCCAGAATGTGAAAAATCATGGTTTGTGTCATTGCCTGCAAGGATCTCCTTAAAGTAGTGATAAGCTTTTTCAATATCCGTAAAATCTCCCGTCAATTTCTCAGAGCCATCAATACCTGGATTTCCTTCCCTTTTCAAATTTGGACATATAACGGTAATTTTCTCCCTTTGCTGTTCAGTGAACATAGCAGTATTCAACGTTGCAGATACTGTAAGAAATATCTAAAGAGAAGACAAGGAAGATATCAGTATTTGTTTTTTTTAAGACTCTCTGCTTGCTGCTTCTGTATTTTGAGTAAGCAAAAGCTCTGTATGTCTCAGTAGGGCCAGATTGCTACAGACACATTTGTATGCAGTGTTTCTTTTGTGTCATGTACACTGACATTACATACATGTAAGTAAAGCCATCTGCTTCTTAGTCAGCAGCAAAAATTAAATTTGTTAACGGCATCAGCACTGCAGGAACAAAAACAATACCTTTGCTACTTAGTTTGGAGACTGGGACCAGTACTCCCTGCTCCTGACCTCTGGTAATGTGGTTAGCGTAACTGTCGCCATTTTATAACGCCATTCTCCTGACTGTGCCGGTCACCGGTCACGTATTCGCCCCTTCTCCCCTCATTATCAGGCCCTGAAGGTCCCATGCCCCACGCAGACAAAGCAAACCGATTTCTTCTTCCCCCTCCCTGTCGCTCTCAAGGTTCCGGGGCTCCAGGCCGACTACTCCCCTCCTCACGGGCCCTGCAGGTCCCAGGCACCCTGCCAACCAGGCGGTGACGACCCCACCGCAGAGCAGGGCACGGGCAGAGCACTGTCTACAAAACTGAGCAGTCACGAGTCCTCCGTGGGAACCTGGACCACGACCGCTGCCGGACAGTGAGACTCGTGATCCCGCAGCGGCCGGGGACACTTCCTCCGAGACTGACTGAAAGACTCATATTCTTTCACGTGGTTTTCGAGTCTAGATTATCGTTGTCACGTCGATGCGGCAAGCCAAGTATTAAGATTTGACAGGCACTGCAGAAGGTGCAGGTAATTAGAAACCATACGCTGAGCTGTGCTATAAAATTCAGTGCTACGCCACTTGTAAAACTGTACTACGCTGATTGTGCTTGTAGAAATCTGGTGTTGTTCTGATCATTAATTCCATGCTATGCTTATCACAAAACCCCGTGAAAATGATGTGCCATCATCATTCTGCCAAGGTTCCCCAGAAGAACCTGTCTGTCCCCTTCACATCAGGTGACAGAGACACAACATGTTTTAACAGCACGTATAAGTTACAACACATTGTTCTTTAATTATATTAGACTTTCTAGTTTTCTCTCACTCTCTTTCTTTAAAAACATTCCCCAAAGTCATGCTTTAGTAGCTCTGGGTTAAGGCAGAAAACAGGATTCTAAAAAATAATAAATAACATGTTCCTATCTCTACTTTGCACAGACAGAAGGACGGGGAGATCTGCAGCATTCTGCTATGGGTGTCAGAGAACCACGGCGCTGGCACGCGCTACACCCCAAAGCTACATCTGTGCCACCACGCAAACCAGGGTCCACCCTCTGGGCCAGACACCGGTGTCTCGGTGGAGACCCACCCATGTCATCCAACACGCAGCCCAGCCCGACCCCGCGTCCCTAACGCACAGCTGATCCCTTCCGCGTAACTTCTAGTTCCAAGCATCTGAAATCGTGTTTGCTGCGCTACGTCCCATCAGAGCAGATTTTTTTCACGCCGAGGTACGGGATGGAAGTAACCAGGGCTGCCTGAGGGTGCAAAACCTGCTGAAGCGGGGTCGGAGGTCCGCGCAGCAGTAAGGCGTCCCAGTCTGACACAACTCTTCCACCTTTTGGAAGCAGTCCTTGGCGCACACCATCCCCCAGGACCTGCCAGGGTGCTGCTCCGTGGAGCGCCGAAAGCTGCCAGCAGCTGCCAAGGCCACTTGGAGAGCACGCCGCTGGTCACCACGTGTGGATGGCCACGCCAACCTCCCTCCCTGCCCGCGCTTTATCAGCCAAGATCACAGAATCACAGAATGGTCGGGGTTGGAAGGGACCTCTGTGGGTCATCTAGTCCAACCCCCCT